TCATGATAATCGGTAGGCACTACTTGTATTCCCCGAGCCCGTTGTTGATCTACTAATCGACTAAGTGTCAGTAATCAGTGACTTTGGAAGTCACTGTAGTCAGGTAACCCGTGACCTCGCGCCCTTTCTAGACCTCTGCGAATTTTGAGATTGCGGTGAGGTCAGAAAAGAGGAAGGCTTGCTCATTGTACGCATACTGTAAACACTGGGTGGTCGATCTAACGCTTCGGCGATTTCGATCAAGGCGAGCCTCTTGTATACCGGGTTCGAGGGGTCTCTAGTCTAAAGAACTGTCTTGGGTTTATCTCGCCTTATTACAGAGTCAGTCTCAATGGTTTTTTCGACTTTTTAGGCTCTGAAGAAGGCGAACTCGCCGTAACGTTAGTCCTATAAAGTTTAGAATCTTGGAAAGGCTGAAGCAAATAAAGATACATATTTTGGAATGGTTTCTCAAAATTCGTCTCCATGTAAACACACATTCGAGTAGCGGAACTGTTCCACAACTTGGAATCAAAGAAACGTTTGTTCCCGAAATGCTCAGTTGATGATTTCTCCTCATAAGAATTGTTTTAAATGCTTTTTGAGGTTTTCCACTTGGAGGAACGTGTGGCTTCCAAGACAGCGATGGGACATTTTCGGGTCGAAAGACGTGATTCCAAAACCGTTTTGGCCGACGTACACATCCAAAAGTGGCCGTGTTATGACAAACTTGTTAAGGCTGCAACACTCACAATTAAGCGTTACCACCTACGAACTGTACGATTACGTGGGAGCCATCCATTCGGGTACAACCACACAATCTCGTACAACCCCCCTTCCTTACTACCTTCTTCAAGCTCCATAACTCCTGAAATCCGCCGATATTTATGCTTTCTATTCGCGATTTTTGCGCTATTTTGCTCAAAATTATGGTTATTCATGCCTTTGAGGGAATCAAACACTTTTTTTCTGATCGAGATATATGAATTTTATGGAGCCCTTTTTTCGAATCGCTCTTCTTTTTTTGTCTATCATTGATATTTTCACCGAGGCTATACACTTTTTTCAGCCTTCTGTCACGGAAAGTCCCAAATACTTGGGCAAATCGCTTACAGTCTATTACAAGCACCATATCGGGGCGTACTCTGGTGTCAGTGCGATATTCAAAGAAGTACGTTGCTGAAGTTGTTCAAGTTGTTTCTACACTAGAGTAGTGTAACAAAGTATTATCAGTAAGAGTGGTAATCTGCAAATTGGATCAGTGAATATTCTACTTCAGGTTCGCGAACTTTTGCCTTCAGGAGCAACGACTTTCGGCATTTATTATGACAATCCAAGGGTGGGAATTATCATAAATTTTTTTTCAAATGCTATATTTGTTTTAAGAGTGAAAATAAGGATCTATTCGTCCCTTCAGCGTATAGGGAGCATCGGGTATCAAAACATTCCTTATTAACATCGTTAGTTAGGTTTAACTTTAGGTCGACCTTCCCACAAGCGCTCTCAGATTAGGTGAGCATTCGTTCCGCATGCTTGCCGTTCGGTATTACAAATACGATGTCGTCGGCCAAGCGGTGGTGCTGTCGGTCGCTCCAAGGCTCCAACAACTGCGTCTGTCTTGATAGTTCTGAAAGCTTTCTTCCAGATCGATGAACCTCAGACCCAACTCTCTGTGCTCTCAACAATTCCCAAAGGGTCTTGAGTCCGTGTGTCATTGGTTATGAACCCCGACGAGCTTCTGCTTGCTCGCGTGGCTGTCATTTATCTAGTATACCGTCCGTCCTGTTAGGATGACTTACAGACAGGAAATAGATTTGACAATAGCTGCCATTGCCTTCTGGATCTCTTCTTACACAGCGACATATGTAGTCTTGCTGGTTTTCAACGGCAAGAGAACTTTCTGTTTTGCCATGTACCACGTGAAGAGCCTAGCCTGGTGAGGCTCTTCAGATGTTCTGGTTTGATCCTACCGGGAGGCGCCATACAACTCTTCATCGGCGTGATAGCTTGTCGAATTTTGGAAAGGAGAGTTGAAGGAACAACATATCCATCCTACCTGAGGTGGCAGCTGGGCAGGTAGGCGTGGCCGTGGAAGTGATCTGAGTGGAATTCGTAGACGAATTTCTCCCCTCCTCTTCGAGATGTACTAGCTATTCCATCATAATGAGGAAAAAAGTCATCTTGGCCTTGTAATTTATCTGTGGGCCTTACGAACGCTCCTCCCGTTCTTAACGGCTTCCGATCAGAGCTGATGCTCTTCTCTTTCTCAGATCTTGCATTATCCCCTCTCTCCACAGGTTTGTCAATTCCGCGCGATTCCACGCCGGCGTATCATTTTGAGAGTCTCCGAAGAGAGTCATTCCTCGGCATCTACAATGCTCTGTACTTTGCTACCACTGTTGCGAAGATGTTTCACGACTCAGCTCAACGATATCTTAACTTGAACAGTAACAGAAACGTAATGCATACCCTTCAAAATGTCTTCATCGTTTTCAGTCACATTAGGGATGAAAGCTTGTCGTTTCAGTGACAGAGTCGATTTGTTGAAACACATCATATCATTGTACTGTAATGTGAATTTAATAAGGTTTTCCAAGTATTTCTAAAATCTTTTTTAGGAACGTGACGAGCACCTTCTTCAATCCGCTGTCGGAGTCATATTCGGAGGTAATTGTTTTAATGAGATCTCTTTTTTGGGGAAATTGACATTTGACTGCCGAGAGCGGATGTAAAACATAATGCGTGCAGACGCAGGCTCCGTTCCGCCGCTGATGGTGATTGCTTCCATGCTCTGCGAATGGCTGACGGCCGGTATCTATTTGTGTTGCACCCTGCCGTCCTGCATTCCGAGGAATTCCAGTAAAAAACTGTCATGGTCCAACGGTCATCACAATATTCGCTGATGTGCCCGGCCCACCTAATTTTCAGTTCCTTGCGATAAGCAACGCCTGCGTCGCGCAAAGCAGGAAAACCGCATTTTCGAAAAGCAGAGCAGATGGGGCTGTGCTTGGGCGAGATGACATCGCCCTGCCGAGCGCTTCTCTTCTTAAGTTCTTGTAGAATGATGAAATTTTGATGGTGTAGTCATAGGTTCATGAAGCATCCTTGTACACTGGGTAGGAAAGTCCTTCTTGTTCAAATCTTCAATTACCATCTCACTGCCGAGTTTCAAGGGCCTTTCAAACCGATGAACTTCAGACGTAGTCATGATCCCTGTAGTCTCGCGATACTTGTATGAGTATTGTGATAGTGTGGATATAATGGGTCGTAATAAGTCCCCTCCGAAACTTCGCTTGTTTGCGGACTCTTCTCTATCTAGTAGTCTGCCAATAATGTTGAGAATGACTTTGGCAAGAATTCGTGAATTGTAGGCAGCAGGCAGATTGGGTGAAAAATGCCAATATTGTTAAGTCAGGGTTTGCTGTACAATGAGCAATCGACGTAATCGCATCTCAAATTTCGTAAAAGAGTGTTGAAGAAACGAAATCACATTCTGCATAAGTTGGTAGGTAAGGAGTTACTCCTAAACGGGATTGTCAAAGAAATTGGAGTAGGTAGTAGATTACCTTGTTCATTGCCCTTCGAGGTCCAACTGTTTCGTCAGCTCGACGACGTGTAGTCATCTTGGTCTTGTAAGCGGCGAAGCTTCGACGGGAACTCTGAGTACTCTTAATCTTACGGTTCGACAAAGAGTGCTGCTTGCCTATTTCAGATTTTCTCTCACTTCTATGCATAGCTTTTGTTTGGGCGCTAGATGATGAATACCTGTGGCCCGCGCGATCACACGTTCTTGCATCAGCTTGATAATATTCGATGAGAGACGTCTCTATGCAACTTGTAGACTCTCTGCTTTGCTAGCACTATGATCGTGTGTTCCCATCTTCCCGCTCTAACTAATGCCAAATTTGACCGCTCTATGTTCAGAATTAACAATTTTCGCGTACGCTCCGCCCGCTGTGGGTGGAGTCCGGTTCTGCCACCCACCATAGGTGTTCCCAGTCTGCCTACTATATTTCTACCAAATCTGATCGCTCTAGTTTCCGGGAACAGGAGATATGAATTTCCGGTCGGAACACACGAACACGCAGATTAGCGCGTTGTATATTGTAGGATGGTTGTGAGATATAAGTGATTGACGTTGAGCATGCTATCTGTGCATGCTAAGGATTTCGGTGAAATATATATCAGGGGTATCAACGGCTGGTCGATTGCAAATCGTCGAAAGAAGGCATTCTAGCGAATTCCGTTATGGTCTCTGTGACTAGGCTGAAAATATTTTTATACAGTTCTCATCTGGTGTTGTGAAAAGCTTAGTCTTCGATGCTTCAGAAGACGGTAAAGATCTTTATACGAACAACTACTCACAACAGCTAACTCGATGGGGTTACGAAAAGATGGTTCTGCCTAAGGTACGATATATTCAATATCACTTGCCTATTTTTGGTATTCTTCTTTCTTCTTCTCATCTCCGTTTTCGCAACCAAATTCAGTTGAATCTCGCAGCTTGCAGGTTGATCGTGCCGTGGAAGCCACACAACCTTTCACAGGGTATCTGTCAATGTTCGCTTTAATCTACCGCACATATGGCATTATTTGGCAATACATCATGGTGAGTGCTCATTTTAGAATTGAGAGTTCCACTGAATGTGAGAGACTCAAAGTGAAATTCTATGTCTGCGAACAATAACTTTCAGGATAACCGCTTGGAAACTACTATAGCTCTCGAGTTCTACGATAACGATGGGGTTTGCGTTTCGTTCCCACTTGATCACACAGAGGAATTCGTAGTTCCTGAGGTAAGTTGAACTTGCTCCACACGGCTACAGCTGAAATCGAATCTTTTACCAAAAGTTTTTAGCGCAAATCTGTAGAACGAATCTTTTAAAGCCTCACTTAACGACATTATTAGGTGCCGTTCTCATGTTGAAGCACTGATTGGAGCAGAATAGTACATCGCTAGTGAAGAAAACGAGGTAGTTTGGAGAATTCGCGAAGACTAAGTTATCTCCAAATTAAAGAATCCCACAGAAGATTGAAGAAGTGTTTGGACGAGATCTTTCCCGCTAAGTCCATAAAAGGGGTGATAAAACGACACCACCATGCGTTTTTTTGACAAGACAACCCACCTTGCGCATGGTGACGGGCAAAAGGATCGTTTCCAGTAGGAAGTCTTGAAAAGCTTTTCGTACCGAACCAAGTCTTGATTAGCACGGCAGATACGTGAAAAGAGATTGATGACCAATACCAAAAGCCGATGTGAGTATTTTCCTTAACATCAAGGTTGTTAGTTGATTTCTTATTGCTCTGAATATATTCCAACCAAATTCAGTCAAAAAAAGTATTTCTGGGATTTAACGTCCCGCGATGACCGGTACCGAGTGCTTGTAATCTTTAGAGCCCGGCATAATAAACGCGCTACCAATCAGTTCAATCACTGTACACTGTACGATTTTCTACGCTTGCTACGCCACGGTCTATACGGATTCATTTTTAAGAAGACGATAAATACTATGCAAGCCTCTCGTATTCTTCACAATTTCGTTTCAGCATCTTTCGATAGAGGCTTTGGAGTCAAGGCTAGCTAAGAAGAAGTTTGATTCTGACGAAGAATCCAGCGAAAGTGAGGGCGACCAACCATCAGAGGTAGAGATTCCTGATGAAGGCATTGTGGAGATCAAAGGCGAAGCAGCTGGAGGCGATAAAAAGGATAATTAGGAATATCTTTGGTGTATGTACGGTTTTTCGCTTTTGTTTCGATATTGTATTGATTCACGCTCGCTTTTGTGCATCTTAGACAATTTGTCTTACATCAGTGCCTTACCGGTTGTTTTTTTTCTTCTATTTTTCACCATGGTACAAACTCAGATGAAAATTCACGCTTTTCCAGCTTGAAAAAAAGTACAGATCTTCTGTCAACTTTGGATTTCCTGATGGGCTTTTAATGTATTAATTCAAGATTATAAAAATGAGAAAACATAGCTCTAAGTGTGTTATCGAGGAATCCTGTATGATATGGTCTTAAAATCTTAATGCGGTTGATCTGATAACGGTCCATCGGGGTTCTTTGTGCGCGTCTGAAACAACACATGTCGGATACAGTGCACTACTCAGGTCGCCCG